AGCATGGGATCCGTTACGGTGGCGTGATCTGTAGTAGTAGTTGTCATCGTTGTCGTCGTATTAACCGTCTTAGTACTGGTAGTATTAGAAGGAAAGAATACTGGACAGGACATTAGTTGTTCCATGTTGTTGCTGTCTTCGTGGTGGTGGTAGTCATAATGAGCAGCAGTAGTTGTAGTAGTAGTCGTCGTCGTGGTGATGGTGGTGGTGGTAGTGGGTATAGTAGTAGGTCTGTGATTCGATACACCAGGACCACGATTGTGAGGGCTGTTGCACTGTAGTCGAGCCATGGCCTTGCAATAGCTGGGCCGTCTTTCCCGGCAGCTTTCTCAGATCTTTCGCAGAAAATCTACAACGATTTCACAAAACTGCCACACTCTGACGCTGAGGCTGGTTTTACAACAGTAGTTGCAGTAGGCACGACCTGCTCGCAAAATTGGCTTGGCCTGAATCGCTGAGGCAGCAAGTGCACATACACGTCCATGGTTTCGGGTCTAGGGTTTTAGACTGCGGTTTGATGGTTCAGATCAGCACCGGTAGGATGCTGACGGTGATGCTGATGACTACGACGACCGTGCAATCCTGCTGAATACAACTGCCAACTGCGCCTATGTTTCTTCTTGCAGCGATTCTTGCAACACAATCATTCTTCAAACCCTGGCTGAGGGTGCTTGGGAATAAGGGGTATACACCTAGCATGATAGCATGTTCTTTATGGGTCTCCTGTGTCCCAAGTCTGTTCCGTGAAAACTTTCGCGGATGATTGCTTTCCTTTCGCGGACCCATCGCAAATCTTTCGCGGACACGTTATTTCACATCATAAAACCGTTTTGTATAAATCCGCCGACAAGGACCTTTAGATAAATGCCCATGTCCTGAATTTCACAACGCGTGACTTTCTTGAACAGTCGAAACCTTCAGCACTCTCGGCATTGTGGTACTACGCCCTCGCAATTTAGGGCACATGTTTCCTTTCCAAATACATACACCACCATGAGCATTGACGTGGTGGACTCCGTCTGATTCGTTCTTGTGCCATCTTGTGCCTGCTGTCCGCTGTCCGGCAAAGTGCATGGCAACAGACACATGTTACACCCCGGCTTCTGAAGAACAGACAGAGCAGACATCCGAAGCCCGGAAAGTGCACATGTCAATTGGAGAATGAATTGAGCACGTCGAAGGGACGTGGCCTGGGCTGCGGGAGAAGCCTGCCTGGCCGAGCAGCATGCACATCCGAGAACCCAGCACCCCAACCCAAAGCGCATGTGGAGCCAGATGTTAAGTTATATCAAATTGACATCCTAAGTTACCACTGCAGGCAGTCGGGGCTGACCCGCCAGGCGTCTGCGGGAGGGCAGAGGCCGCTTGGGCAGATGGCACCTGCCGGAACGCTCAACCACCAGGCTGAAGCACGCGGCGGAAATCACTACGCGTGCGTCGTGTGCGTCCAGCAAGAGGCTTCGGCTTGCTGAAGCGCGGAAGTGGTAGCATCAGGAGCTGGTAGCCTCACAGAGCTGCACTCGAATCTAGAGAGCCGAAATTCATTGCTCTGGCCTGTACGACCCCAAGGAGGGTGTTGTCGCTGACGGTGACTGCGCCTTCTCGTTACGGATCAAAGAAACCAGTACAGCGCATGACCGGGGGGGCCGAGGCGGCCGAGCCACTTTCACTCAGTCGTGATGCTCAACTGCGTGGGGCGCCGAATGCACCCGCCAGCGAGTCCCGCCTTGAATCCCTCTTTGGTGTTTCTAGGCCTAAAGGCGTGTTGCACATGATCGCCCCCATGTGGCTGCCATTGCAGGACTTCTTGCTGGAAGCCGCCGGATGGTGTTGTGCTGAAATGACCGCTGACTAGAATGCCCTCGACCTTCATGCAAGCTTGCTGCTGTGCCTTCACACAAGCATCTTTGATGGCTGTTTGTACTGTCTCGCGTTGCGTCTTCGTTGGGCATGGGAGGCTGGGTTCCCTTTGGATCTGGTCCTCGGGAGCTGGAGTGCCGCTTAGAGGACCTGACCCCTCTGAGTCAGCTCACCCAGGAGCTGCACGGTCGCGCAAGAATGGAGCTTCACCCTTCGATCCGACAGTCTTTGCAACAGCTGCCGCACGTTACCAGCCCCCCCTTCCAAATTCGAAGTTTGTTATAAATGTAAAACTCAGGCCTCGGGTCCTTTGCTCGCTTACCCGACTGGAATACGAACGACCGGACGACCGGCAGCCTTCAGGGCACTGACATCAGCAAGGATTGGCCTGGGCACATTCTGTCCCAGAAGCGATTTCACAAGCTTGGCTTTACGAGGCCTGGCACCAGACGGCTGCTGGATGAATGTCAACTCAGTAGACACCTCATGCCGCAAGCGGGCATGCAATCATGGGTGCCTGTCAGCCTATCTGGAATCGCGATGGCCACTCAAAGTACGACAAACACAGATTGAGGATCGCATCCTGACTGAACTCTGCATCTGCGGACCCCGCAAAACGGTTGCAGGGCAGGCTTGCTGCCAGCTCGGCCCGTTGGGAGCCTCTAACGCGGTCTGCGTACTGATGAATGTAGACATCATCTGGAAGTGTCTCTGATGCACCCGACGTCTTAGACGGCTGTTCGCTGCAGTTCTGCTACTTCGCACAACTGCGTTGAACTAACATAAGGGCCAGGCTGTCCAAAGCGCCGATAGCCGGCGAAGATAAAAGAAGAAGCCTTGAGGACGGCATGCGGCGTACAATATGAGAGGGGGGCCACGACAGCTGCTGTGACATGAGGCCAGCAGCGTTCGCACAATGCAAACCGTATGCGGACCGCTTACCTGATGCAGTACATGTTTCAGCCACTGTTGTCATGTTGCCAGTCCTCGTATCTGCTAGTTACCAGTTACTCGCTCGAGCACTAGGAAGCCTACTGGAAGCGCATGCCCGCGGTGCAATCGGCAATGCAAGATTTGGAAATGTTGGGCATTGACATTCTCAGCCGCTCATGTCAAGCTGTATAGTGAGACTCCATGCCGGAACCTGAGGGTGGGGAGTGTTGCCCGAAGCCAGAAGAGCAACTCAGAATCACCACAGCAATTTCGAACCGTGGTCGAGCCACATCAACCGGATATCTAGCTCTTGCTGGGGCTCTGGCAGGCTGGGAACTCTCATGTGGCACGGTGGGCCTTTTCGCCTGACCAAGGCGGCACAGCCAACTTAAACGCCTACACAGCCGGATGTCACTCGCGCCTGCCTTGCATTCGACCCGACGCCTCCTTCTGCTGCCGAAGCCTGGGTACGATGTTGTACCGCATGAAGTCTCAAACTTCGCAGGCTTTGTTGATGAAGGCATGACTGCAGTTTGTGGATGTCTGAAGGAGTCTTGCTTCCAAGAGATCGCAACCAACCACACGTGGTTTACTAAAAGGTCCGGTGCAAACACTGGCCACGCCCTCCAAGTAACACAAATTCAAGTTTGCGTTTGTATTGTCCAGCGTGAGAATTAGGAGCAACCGCTGTTCATGCCATGCAGTTCTTAAGTTTTACGTAGGAAGTCTTTAGGAAATCCGTTTGCCGCCGTGCTCATCTGTCTAAGGTCATGGACACTTACCTTCCTACTCGGACCGCAACTCAAGTCGCTGAGAACCCGTCCCAAAGGTGGGCTCTTCGTTTGCAAACCGACAGGGACGGCGGTCGGCGCGCAACCTGCTGGGGCCGTCACCCTTGAGCCAATAATTACAAGATCCAGCAGTGGCACGAACGCGCGCGTGTTTGAGCCGAGTCTGCACCGGACGGACAACCTTATTGCACTTTATTGGTCGCATGCAGATGCAGATCGAATTGGTTGGTGGCTCATGTTTCTGAGCCTCCAACCAAGTGCACATGCTTGCTTTGAGGACGTGCTTTAACTGCAGAACTGGTCTGTCCGTACTTCGACTTCCCGTGCCGGTACAAGATTAGGCGCTTCTAGGCTGATTCGACATTGCTGGTGGTGCATGCTTGGCCAGATGCCGCGGCCATCAGCCTGTGCGCTTACAACGCAAGAACCATAGCGTCCCGCTTGTGGAGCCAGCTACGTGTGACGACATGCGTGAAACAGAGAAGGGCGCAGCCCAATGTTGCAAATCCTTGAGTATTTGCACATTTCATTCTGACAATCCATACCTGCAGAATGCTGACGAGATGAAGTCCGTACCAGGTTATGAATTCTCCAACAACCCCATCGAAACCATGTCAAAATGTGCATCCCTGTGTTATTTCTGTTCCAATTTACTTTATGTCCGTATCATTCATTCCCTAGATCTAGATTCTTGAACTATGAGCTTTCCATACTTGTACAGCAATGCCATCCCGCAATATGCCGCAATCCCGTTGGAGTCTCTGTTTTACTAGTTCAATGCTACGGAGCGTTGGCCACCCACAGCTCTCCATAACATATCCTTATGCCCTTATGCGACTGCTTGTCAACACTCGTATATCCAGGCATTTAGGTGCCGCATTCCGTAATTCCCCGATATTCGCTCCAAACTCAAAACATGCGTGTTACACATCTAGCAAAGGTTGCAATGTTTCTCCTTGAGGGACAACATAAACTGCCTTTTCTCAGGACAAAAAAAGGCCCTATACTCTTGGGAATGTTTCTATACACCCAGTGATGAAAGCTTTGCTTCTGGTATCAGAATGCCGGAAACATCTCATAAAGCCGACTGCGAACCGAGAGACCTCACTTGGCTTGTCCGAATTGTGAGAGAAGTAACCAGTCTGTAAGACGCAAGGTACTGCTTGGCCTTACAATGAGATGATATCGCATATTATGTCGACCTTGCTATTCCCGTGCCCTGCAGCGTTTAGGTTTGTGTTCTTGTTAACACCTGCAAGACCGTTGTCCCAGTCCAGATCATGTTTTTTCTTTTTGTACATGCTCATAAATACATGTGCTCTTCGAAACCCAACCGGCCAGAATGTTCAGACTGTTCCAATCCTTACAAACTTGCTGATGCCAGCAATAAACTACCATGTATCGCGACGTTCACTGGCGATATGGTTGAATTTGCTTGCAAAACACACCGTGTTGCTACTCGACGGAATTTTCCAGTTCATCCCCTTGTAATTGGAAATCGCATTGTCAGAAGTTTTTCTATGTACCGAGGGAAGAAACCTACAGTTTGTAAGCTGCGAAGTAGTGCTTGCTCACCACATCATCAGTCTTATGAAATTGAAATCTTGCTCCCTTGGCATGATGTTTGGAAGTAACATTGCGACTAGTGCGCCTATGTACCAAGTGATGAGACCCAGCCGAGTTGTAAACAGCAAAATAGGGTCTCTCCTTACAACGTCAATTTTCTGTGTACAACACCTACTGACATGCAAGCACTTATTGGCTAAACATGTGCATAGATAGACCTTTCTCTTGTAAACCCCGTGTATCAGTACAAAATCGCAATCTGCCTGATGGCAGAGCAGCCCCAGTCAGAATCCTCTTTCAGAGACGGCCTGACGCTGCACTGACTTCGAACACAGAGAGTCGAGATGCTTGGCCTCGTGAATCTTCGGGTTCAGAAAGCTGCAGCACCTGAGTCAGTCGATCAATGTCCAGGCATCATGCTGTCATACAAGTCATACATCATCACCCGCGCAGAGGCAAATTCGAGATGGTTTCTTTACCGGGGCTCCTGCTGTAGTAGCTCTGTCGCTGAAGGGCGAAATGCTGGGTCCTTATTGACAGCAAGGACAGAAGTTGATTGTGAAGACAGCCTGGTCTTGCTGTGATTCATCCATGCGATCATAATATGTTAGCTTCAAGTTTGGCCAGTGCACTGGCAAACAAACACTTGAAACAACACCATCTTGGGCCTTGAGCATCGGCCTTCACGATAACCATGGCAAAGTAGGTACATCCACCAGCAGTTGGAGGATGTGGCCACATGGGCTAAGCAGAAGTAGAAGGGTCGGCATATTTTCGGTGAATCTCATAAAAATAAACACTGCAGATCACTGAAGTCCCAGCCAGCACGAGAGCAGCGATCAGCAGCTGTCCCAGCTCCAGCTGCACGGAAGCAACACAAACGAAATCTCGTTCCTTATTCTGCAAACACAGAGTCAGTGGGCATAAGGTCCTCTCCGGTTCAAGTGCTTGTGATAGAAACGCAAATGGGCACCTCCCACCTTCTCCGAACTCTGCCATCCTTGGCCGAGAACTTGCTCAAGCCCCCAGCGCTTCGGCCTGAGAAAGCTATCCCGAACGGCATGTGCTCATGAGCTTGGACGAGCCTGTGAGCAAAAAAACTCTCGGTGAGTCCGCGACGTCGGTTCAGAATGTTAGATGCAAAGCCAGACGGGTCTGACGGGTTGTCGTCCCGGGGTACTAGTAAATACCACTACCACTACTACTACTACTACTACTACTACTACTACTACTACTACTGCTACTACTAGTACTCGTACTCGTACTCGTACTAGCTAGACTAGTACTTGTACTACTATTACTGCTCCTACTCCTGCTCCTAGTCCTACTACCACCACTACCACCACGACGACCACGGCCACGGCCACGGCCACGAGCACCACCACCACGAGCACCACCACCACGAGCACGACCGCCACCACCACCCTGCTCCTGCTCACCTGCTCCTGCTGCTGCTACTATTCCACCTGCTACTACGACTACTGCGACTACTGCAGTGCTTCACATTGCAGTGATCAAGTCTTGGGAGCTTGCCGAAGCGTCTCCATCTGGCCAGAGGCATTTCGCCGTAGTGGCCAGTGCCGCGGAGCCTTGCAAGTGACCCGAACGTGCCTTCAAAAGGCTCATGATGGCTGACCCGCGCTTGCAAATCCCAACACTTCCGCTACACACATGCTTTGTGCGGAAAATGAATTCGTCCAGGAAGCTGGGGTGTAGAGCTGGCGAACGTCCAGTGGACTTCGTCGGAGAAGAGACCTTCTTCAACACCAATACAGTAATTGTCACTATTTGTCACTATGACGACGGCCAGACACATGCCCACTGCAAAAAGCAGGCACTGAGTTTTCTTCATGAGGACGGGGCGGCGGCACGCCGTCACGCAGATTACATAAACCAAGCGCTTGTGTCATCACAACCTCACGGCATGGTAGAGCATGGCAGGCTGCGAACCTGCACACAGCTTGCGAGTGGCCTCCGCTGTGTCCATCTCCGATCGCCAGACCGTGCGCCCACAAAGCAATTCACACAGAGATACCTCGCAGCACTCTGCCACTCTCTCTATGCCAAAGAGCGTGACTGCGAATTCCTCATCCAGGTCTCGTGCAGCAGTGCCCCAAACATCTGCGCGGTGCCCAATGGCGAGGCGGAGGGTCATCTCAGGAGCCCACTTGCCTGACATCCCATCAGTTCCCAGTCCAGTCTGATGGTCTGTCCGAAGACACAGGAAGGCCGCATCGACTTCGATTGAGACACGAACCCAAATGACCAGCGCCACCTTCGGCAAGAGCCCTGGCAGAAACAAAACTGCAGCACGGACTGGACGAAAGCGAGACGGCGAAAGGGCATGCTCTTGAATGATGATTGCAAAAGGGACACCAGAATAAGCAGCAACTGTTCCACGTAGCCAGGTGTGCCAATTGCGGCCGCTTTCATGACGATGGTCAAGACCTCAAGCATAGAACGGCTGCCCTGGTCTCCATAAACACTTCATTCACGGCACTCCTCCGGCAGGCTCCTGAGCTCGTCGCGGGCACATCCGAAGTCCACAATCTTTACCTCGTGACTTACTGCACTCGGGCAATCTCGGGCATGCACATAAATTTCGATGGTCTAACGCTGGTGACGAGAATCAATCTGAGCACTGCCAGATCATGTCCCAACATTATACGATTGGGACAACAATGCAGCCGCCTTGCAAAACGGCACATGGTGGCAGACGGCACCCTTGTCCCGACCAGGCGGCGCAGGCTACAGCGATCCGCAGGGTCCGGCAAGAAACAAAACGGCTGTTGTCCCGCTGAGTGGCACGAGGACCAGAGCCATGAGCCTGCAGAATGTGCAATCGTGAACACCGGAAAGCCATGGCTACCGCCCATGTCCCTGTCGCACCTCGGTCCAGATCAGATTGTCGGGCTTGATGTCGTTGTGAACGACGCCCGCCTTGTCCAGCATCACTAAACCTGCCCACATGCTTTCGTAAGATCTCAAGAAGATTCGCTCCGGAGTTCCACCTGAAAGAGCTCCAAAAGCCACGAGCCGTAGCTTCCTGAGGAACATGACAAACTGGACGAGTCACGGGCCTTCAGCAAATTTTAATTCCGACTGTAATTTTCAGCGTGCACAGTGCTGAGATCAAAAATCATGACCCCACTTTGGCGCACATGAGTCACACATAGTCTTCCATCTCTCTCTCCCTCTCGCTCTCGCTATGCTTCAGCCTGACATCGCCTGCTGAACGGTAACAGGTCGTAACATGGCACTTCATACACTTCAGAACATTCCATTCCATGCATGTTTCAGATGTCTTTTGCTAGTTTACTCCCCCTTGAGCTGAGTCACTAGAGACCATCATGAGCTTGACATCACGGCATCCAACATTTCCGCAAGTGCCCTTCCAAACTCTGATTTATGTGATTCCGCCCCTCCCCTGAATCTAAACTCTTCTATTGAAGCCTGATCATGATCGTCAGCTTCTGAGTTCTGGCTTCTGAACTTGCAGGGCTTCCAGTATCTCAGCTGCTGGAGCCCCTCTTAATTCGGAATCCGAAAACTGGCAGACATCTTGCAATGTAGCAGCTCTTTAACCTTTAACACCGTCTCGATCCCTGGCAGATAGTCGGAAGAACCTTTTTTTGTCCCAGGGGACATTTCTTCAGCCCTCAATCGAGGCCAGCGCCCCAAGTCTTGGAAGAAACTCAGCTCGGTAGACAGTGCCAAACAATTGCGGCCCTGAAGGCGAGGCAATCGGAGTTGGGTCTCTGAAAGGTCAGAAAGGCGGCTGCTGGATGCCCAAGCCTCTAACATGCTCTCGACTGTGTAGCCTACCTGGACAAGATCTGCAGGGAGCATCAGTGCGGAGCGAGAAACGGCGCCGGAGCAAGCAAAGGCTTGCGCCGAGTCGTAGAAGGCATCAACAAGGATTGGAAAGAAGCTCCCACCTGCTTTCGCTACATGCTACATGTCGCTGCAAGGCGCTGAAGCGATCTTTGTAGCCTGGGTCCACATTCTGCAGCCGCTGTCCAATGACATACAAATCGCTCAAGGCCTGCGGCCACCAGCAATGAGCAATGTGCAACAAATGCCGGCATCCAATCAGTCTCAGTCTCAGGTGGCCTCAATGGGAAGATTCCTGTGGCGTTTCACACACACCTGATTGCAACAGAGTGAGCGAGAGCGGGAGACATCATTCCAGTTTAGCAAAACAGTTAGGCACCAGTGGAACAGCCATGTTAAACCCAACATACCACATCCGAGTTTACTTAAGAATGGACTGGGGGACTTTGTGTGTACTTCTCAGCAGATTAGGGAAGAAGGGAAACTGGTCGAAATGTCCAACCAGTCATTGTCTCCTGTCTGCTCAAACTCAATACAGTACGGTACGAACATGCGATCACTGCATGCATTTCTTTCTTGCGTTTCCCGCTCGGAGTAACACATCTCACCACGCTCCTACTTGTCTACATGATGCCCGTGTTTTGACAAATCAATTTCACCAGATATGTCCTCTCTCATCCTCTGGGAGACACCATGTTAGGTCTCCACGCACTTTCAACCTTGTCGCCACTCCTCATGTGTGCGTGCGAGTGTACAGGCCATGTGACAGTTTTGTGACAGTTTTGTGTACAGCTGAGCGCCAATCAACGAGCGACACCAACACGTCGACTCCACCGGGACAGGTTTGCCGTGAGACGCAGACCTGCCGATCTTCTTTGAGATCACGGGCCTGAAAAGCCTGCGCAGAAGTGCAACAATCAAGAACAAGCAGAAGACGACGCACCGTGCAGATTTTTCGATGGCAGCAGCTTTACCCCGCCTTTGTGAAATGTCCTTCGCCAACAGGATGTTCCACCTGATACCTGAAGACTTGGGCAGAAAGCGCCAACCCGTCTTCATTAGCATCACCTGAGTGAGTACCACTGCCGATTAGTTCTCTCGGGCCTTTGGGCGAGGACTTCTCCCGTTGCCAGGCCTGAAGAACGCAGACATGATCAAACATGCTTTGGAAGCGGCCAGGGCTGCTGGGCTCACCAGCACATCCGGCACCCCGCTAAGCTCCCGGCCGAAGCTGCTGAGCTGTTCCCGCGCATGGCCACCTTGCATTAGACTTCGCCGCTGAATGTTGGGGCTTGGGGTGTGGAGCCGTGAAACCGAGTTTTCACAACCTGACACTGGTGAATGGATTGGGCTGTTGCTTGAATTGTCGATTGCCCCGATACGCACTGGCGACACAGAGTCCAGCGCGGCTTCGTGCAGCGGGTAAGATCTGCAGTAATACGGACTTTGCAGCTGGAGCCATCGAGTCTGCAAACACGCGCCGAAGCTAAAGGACATCTACGCCTGCAGCAAGACCGGGTGCTGCTCTTCGATGTTTCAACGCTAACTGTTGACTCAGCAAGAAACCCTTGCAAGTGCAACTGCGCAATCCTGCAATCTTATCGGGCATGTTGTCATCCCCGGTCTGCCCTCTGAGACGATCGCCGCAGATATCACGGCGCAAGCGCATCCGCACGAAGGTCCACGTTTCTGTCGGCCAAAGCATAAGTGAGCGACGTATGTGACTTGAAGTGTTGTTTGTTGATGTTTGTCGTGCTGATGACGTAGCGTGTCTATGCACCTGGTCCGTCGTCCGGAAGTACTCTGCCAGACACCTCGGATGGCAGGCACGCCATACTCAAGGGCTTGCGAATGTTTTTCGGAAAAGTATTCTCGGATTCGATGAGGCTCGAAAGGACAGGAAAACGGCCCAACCAAAGCTCGGTTCTGGTGTGTTTCGTATTCATACGGGACAATTACTGTAGTTGGCAAGCGTTCGAAGGCCTGTTCTTGTTCCAGAATATGCCCCTTTGGCATGCCGGATATGGAACCCCTCGTTCTGGCTCAAATGAGCCGATTCTGGTTGCATTATTCTGCACCCCCTCCCTTGGCCGAAACAGATGATGCAAGTCGCATGCAACCAAATAAATTTGCAGAACCTGTACCAAGATGCTCCGCGATGCTAGGGGCACCAGTGCACTGCAACAACCACGCAAGCACGAAAATGCAGGTTTGCTGGATTAGCTATTGCATATGGTTCCGGTGAATCCCAAAACTGCGGCAAGCCGGCTGCAAGCGAACCCTTCCGCTGCACAATCTGTTTTTGGGTCTCCTTGGTCCATGTCCACTATAGGCATCCGTATGGAGAATTTGTAGTTCGAGTCGAAGTAACCGCTCGGCTATGATCGACCATCCAGCCTTGCGGCAGTACCTGAGCCAATAATCGCAACCCCTCGCCAAAGAACCCGAATCCTTAACCTGGAACGCTGAACCCTAAACCCCATTGCTTCGGAATCGCTCCCCGCACTTGCACTGGCTCTGAACGCAAGTACGGGGGGTGTGCAGCACAGTAGATCTGTTTCACACCAGGCGCTGCAAGTTCGAGCTCATAAAGCAGCAGTTTCAGGTTGTACACAGTTTGAAGGAAAAGCCCGGAAAGCGGGTGGGCCACAGCCCGCACACACTAGACAGCACACCTCCTTTTGGCATTGATTGAGGTGCCACCGTAGTACGATGTAATAATGGATCCTGCAAGCTTCATGCCAATGCAGCCAATGCAAGTTCGAGCACGCCAAATCGCAGCTTCAAGCTGCGCACAATGTGATGGAAAGCTTATCACCCCGCACTGGCAACGAATTTACAAGTTGCCGTTGCGAGAAGGTCACTGGTACGAAACATAACAAAACTGCACATCGGCCAATAGGAAATTACATTTGTCAGAAGGCCGAGAGCACAGCTGCAACTTGCCGCGGGTTGCTCCAAACTGCGTCCAACCTGACAAGTCATGTGGATTTCAATACGTTTGAGCGGGCGACGGCCAAACACAGTTGCTCTCTTGCCCCTGCTCGGTCCGCCAGGTGGACGAACCGAGACGAGGCAGAAAATTTGCCCCCAAGACGTGGGCAGCGGCACTTCGCAATGTGCGGAGTGCATGAGCCGAACTGCTGCCTTTACTAGCAGCTCCCACGGCCGTCTTAACATCGCTCAACAAAGGAACCCTGGAGTGGTGAATGGAAGCTTGACGAATACGAATGAATCTCGACGACCCCCAAAATGTGCATCGCATTTGGCACGACAAGTCATAATTGACTTGAAGTCCCACTGCGACTGATGTAGTCGCCACGATACGCGCGGTCTGCGGACTTCATTCATCAGTTTCGTGGCGCTCAGGTGTCAGCCGGACGCCTCTCAGCCAGTGCAAACTTCAAGCCCGTCCTTGCTAGACTCCAAACGCGAACTGTGGAGCAACATCAGCAGCGACTAAAGTTCGCAGCGGTTGCATGTCATATGTCAAGCAAAGCCTCCAACAACGGGCTCAGCAGAAGAATGTCCACCATTTCAATCAGGCTGGCTTCAAGAACCACCCTGGCTTCAAAGGCTGGCTCCCAAAGCGCATCAAATCCAGATGGTTGTCTCAACCAATCTGGACCGAAGGCGGTGCGAGGAGGACACCCAAGAAAGTGGAAGCGTTCCGTCTGACCGTCTGAGAACCCAACTGAACTTCCAGATCCAAAAACATCAAAGGGTTTGCCAAGCCTGGGTTTCGGAGGATCTGCCTCACCACGTACTCAGCGCGGCGGTCAGGAGCCATTGCCATTGTCTCAGAAAAGGGGGAGCAAGTCATCGCTGCAGACTTGCCGGCTAGTTCCTGACAAATCACACGCATCTGAAGTGGCAAGTCAACCTTCAACTCTGGTTTCATCATATTTCATCGTAATTAGGTCGCCGAAGTTCGCTGCTCCACCTCAAGGAATCGACACGGGGTTTTTTCTCTCCTTAAGACGCCTGCGATGGAGCTGTCCCACACTCCCGTATAAGGTGCACGCTCTAGGCTCCTTGCCCAAGTTTGTCATGGCGGTTTGCACCAAGGTACTAACTAAATTGTATGCAGTTAACTAACACAGATCACGGCTGAGGACACAGTTTGGACCTGGGCAGCTCAAAGGAAAGCCAGCCGTCCCCCCACTCCGGTGCAAGTGCCAAGCCCGCAAGCAGAAGTTAGCCACATCCGAACCGATGGCCTGTTGACGATCTTGAGTGCCAGCTTCAGGCGGCCACGGGTCCACGATGCGTGGGCAACTTGGTCGTTGAATCTCTCCATCTCCAACCCCAAGCAAGTGGCAAAGCTCAGCGAGGCTGAAGGCATAAGATGCTGAAGTACACGCCGAAAGTTGCAGCAAATCAGCTTTGCGATCGTGTGGAAGTTGGCGCACTTGAGGAAAACTTGTCCGCGCAGTCTAACTTGCACGGGCCGACCCGAAAGCATCAGGGCCACAACGCAGCATGATCTTTTTCAGGCAAAACGAATGCACGCCAGCGGCTTCTTCGACATCTTGCAGGTGAGCTGGCTTGGGAGCCCAACATCTTAGAAGCCAGACAAACCCACCATAGCTGCAGATGGACACCACAGAGCACACCTCACGTGTTCTTTGAACACGGAGGTACCACCGTAGTACAGTAGATATGCCGCTGCGCCACCACGACCACAGGATCCCAGTTGACCTGTCTCGGTTGCAAGCGCTCTCTACGCAGCAACGCACCTTCAACCCCACATCTAAGCCCTCGCCTCGCTCTGTAAATTGCCAAGTCCAAGTCAAGGTTCAAGTTGACTTGTACGTCAACGTGTATGTTACATAGCTTTACGAAGCCCTCCGAAGAGATACCCGTCGTGCTGAACACGAGTTTGGCAGGGTGAATGTTGCGATGTTGTTGAACTAAGGGTTTCGGGCTTCAAGGTTGGGGGTTTCGGGGAGAAGGGTACCATATCCGGCCCAGGCCCTCCGCGGGCCTCTACGGGCCCTTACAACAACTACTACTACTACTACGACGACGACGACGACGACGACTTAAGGACCTTGGCCGTTTCGGGGTATGGAACTTGAGGGGCGAGGCCAGGGGAACGAAAGCTAGCCTAGGCTAAAAGCGGCAAGCGATACAAAAGCTGGCAAGGCGGGCACCAAGCATCATCACATCCAACCACATCAGCAAAGGAAGGGGAACAAAGCTGACGAGGCGGGCAATCAGCAACGGAGGGGAAACAAAGCTGGCGGGGCGGGCTCCAGGCATTCTCACATGCAACCAGAATCACATCAGCAACGTAACGTGGGGGAAACAGAGATGGTATCATCACCTCCGGCACATCCAACCAGATCAACAACTCAGCAGCGGGGGAAGGGGGGAGCCGGGGGGGGCCTGTTTTGATGTCTCGGCGCTACGCTAGCTTTCGTGACTTGTTGCTCTTGGGGGTGCCGGCTGTCGAACATGTCGACCTCGCAGGGAGCTATTCTGTGAGGTTCGAGCTGGTTTTTGACACTAGTGGTTGCTCGCTTACGTACTGAGTCTGTCTTTCCCATGCCGGGTTTGCTGTGATTTCGTCGACCGTTGCGGAGGGCAGTACCCTGGGCCCCTGGGGCTGAAGCAAAGGCTGGAGGCCAACCTGGCAGAATTTGCTCCGACCAGGCCTCTGCAAGGACTTCCTGCGCTTGCGAAGTGCAAGAGGCGCTCTGTAGACTCTTGAACATCTTGAGCTCGGTCCTCTGCCAAAGGCTCTGACACCTGCCCAAGCTCTGTGCTTTCAATAAACAACACTGTGCACTTTGGAAACAATTTCGCAATAGCGACGACAGTTACGTTCACGTGATGCTTTGCAATCTGCTTCATTCTGCTTCCATGCTTATCATGCTTCGCCTCCACCGGAACCAGCGCCAGCTCCGAGCGAGAAGGTGGGTGCCCGTAATACTCAATCCAGCAGCTCTCGCAGTACCTCGCCCGAAAGGACCAAAAGCTTGTCTGAAGCATTGAAGCCGACTGCTTGCAACCAGGCACCGGTTGAGGTCGCTTGGATCCAGGAAGAGGCTGGCGGCCTTGCGGCAAACAAAGACAACAATGATTTCAAGGTCTTCCAGTATTCTGTCAAGCAACTCCTTACAAGTAGGGAGACCCTACAAGCAATGGGATATTTTAGGAGTAGCGTGCTTCATGTGCGCTAACCCTCCTCGGGAGTGGCACGAATCCAGACTCAAGCAGTCGCTGCACTTCCTGTGTCATGCGTTTATGAAGCTTGGATCTGCACAAGCTAGCACGGTTCGAAAGCTCAGCAAGGGTGGCACAATACCTCTACTTGCCAACAGCAAGGGTATGGTGGGATGGAAGGCCCCGGGCAATTCGTATTCCGTAAGCTTTGGCGGTTGGCACAAGTGCGGTGGACACTATCCAAGTGGCCTCGCAGAAGCACTGGCTGCATGTAGATGCAGACTTGGTGAGAACACCAGGGCTGCAAGTGCTGGCCTTGACGGAAGCACAGCACAGGTGTGCAAAATTATGCCATACCCCTACAAACCTTTGAGGATGAGGAACATTGAGGAACCCTGTGACCCATGCCTATCAAGTTCCTTTAGGTTTGCCTGGAGATGCTCGCCAGACACAGCCTTGACCAAGCTCCAGGCGGTGGATTCCATGGAAACTTGTTGCCGCCCCTGACCAGTCGAACTAGAAAGTGTAAAATGCCGTGGCCCTCGACAAGCATCCGACATGCCCCCGGAAGCAATATGGAAGTTGCCAGAAACATCAAAGCAGTGTCTCGTGGAGACCTCGGTCTTGTCACCGCCTGATAATGATGCCTGGCATCAAAAACGTGAGCCACAATTCGAGCCGGTTATTGCATCGGGGGGAACCTCCACTTCGTGCACAACGATCCCAGGCAGCTCCACCTGCTTGACTTGCCGGCTGGCTTTGACTCTGGAAAAGCAAGGCTGAGACGGAATGCAAACCCCGCATGTCAGACTGCGAAACGTTCAGAAGCTTCCATTGGTTGCTCATTGCTGGACACTGCCTGATGTCCCGCATCGCCTGCCTCATGCGCACACTCAACTCCAACACTGTTTCGAATTCGTTTTCTGTTATATCGCTTCCATTGGCATACGGATGTACGCCTTCTGATCCTTCTGTGCTTCCGCCTCCTTCTCCAGCTCAGCAACACAGGGAAGCCCTCCGACCCATCGCGAAGCAACAGCCATGACTTTCAGAACTCAGGCGGCTGAGCTGCGCCTGGTGCTTCACGAATCAGCTCCGAGTGCTCCTTCGAGGCTGACAAGCGGCCTATGATCACCGCGGTATGACCGTGCCTCCTTGGTGATTGGGGCCCAAGACGGCTCCACAGCTACAACAGCCTGTCTTGCACTTGCACGAGCTTTGGCTTCCCGGTGAAGCGACCAAAACGTGCACTACAACCACTGCCCTATGCCACTCCGCTGCGGACCTCACAACGTTCGGCAACGAGATCAGAGTTGGAACCCTTGGCCTTGGACGGCGACATGCCATTCCGGTGCTACCATTGGGCAACAGCTTTGGCCAAGTGACACGTGCATTCAGCACTGGTTCTGCCTGCGGAGAAGCAATCCATAGCTGCTGTGAATGCATGTTGGCTGAATGGGCAGCATGCGAACATGCACCTCGACTAGCATGTGCGCAGCCTCATCATCGCCCTTGCCAGGTTCAGTACAGTGAGGTATTTTCACGAGCACTGTCGTCCGGTGCGGGTCCTCGAAGTGGTTGGTTGGCGCAGTCTAGCTGTGGAGTCAAGGCAATACGGCTGACATTCCCCCCTATCTCGTCATGGGCGCGTCCTGCCTCACATCCGAAAGCTTGTCGGAAAAGAGTCTGCTCACTCAAACAAAAAGTCGCCAAAGAAATGCGAAAACTCGCGCGTGTGAAAGTGCCACTTCGAAAAGTGAATCTCCGGTGCAGGAGCGCGTCATAGTGCGTCTTTTCCATGTTCGAGCTTTGCCATGCGGAGGCTTCTGCTGAGTTTAGGCCCGAATACGACGCTTGTCCTTGTCGTTATTTTGGCATCTTGACTCGGTCAGAGTTCACAACGTAACCGGCGGAAATGCAACGCCCCGGTGCATCGGCAGTCGTACTCGAACCGGTACGCCTGCCGAGACTACAACCCGGGAATACTTGAGATTTGGGCTACGAAAGAAGAAAAGGCTAGGTTTTCCGATCTGAACGACCGCATCCGATCATAGACATGAAGACTCTCGCATTATGGCAAGCTCCAGGGCAGCGGAAAAAGCTTTCGGGAACATCGCGGAGACAGTGTGCTCTTTGGAGTTCTTGACAGAGATCACACTGCCTGAGAAAATCTCCGAAGGCGGGCAAGAGCAGAGAGGCGAGGCTGGCACATGCATGCACAAGTGCTCGAGTTGCTAGTAAGAAGTGTTCTGGAATGCTGTGTTTCGATAGGAAGTGCATCTCAATATCGTCCGAGCCTTAGAAGTAATTTGCAATGCCTATTCCCTAAAATAAGACATCACCTCGCATCCTGCAGTGTGGTCATCGAGGGCTTCTTGGGGATCGGATCTGGTGATTGAGTTGTCTTGTGGTGGAGCCTTCTCAAGCCGTTGTTCGGTGCAGCTGCCGAGGCAGAAACGTGCCCGTTCACAACCAATCTTACCAGAATGGATCTCTCTTGGTTATAAACCTATCAATGGACAGGTGCAGTCAAAGGTCGATTCTAAGAATGAGAATTGGCTACCTACAGTAGTTGTTGGCGACGAGAGCCATCACGCTCTTTTGATCGGAATCGGCACTAAAGTAATTTCAATTGCACTGCGTGCAAAAATCAAAATATGGTTTATTCATCGGGTTTTTTTGGCTCAGGGTATGGCTTAAGGCTATGAGAAGCTGTGACGATATGGCGACCCGTCTTCATGAAGTAATGCAATAATGGTTATGACTTCATGACTAAAAGCTTCAGGAAAGCATTGTTGCAAGGGCTTCGGGATGCCACATGTGCCCGCGGCCTTCAGCCGCTTCTCGAGAACCGTCCGGCAGCGCTGGCTTTCCTAAACCGAAACAAGCAAGGCTCTCTGTTAGCTAGGGCCTAGGGATCTCAGGTGGACCCCCCACCCTGGCCTGGAGCTCCTTCTGCAACTTCTCAACCTCACAGGCAGCAAGAAGATCGTGCTCTTACCATGGTCTGATCGTCACGGAATGTTTCGACCAGGAGAGCCTCGCCTCCAGCTGCGAGCGCTCCAAGTCCTTTGCGAGGGAGGCGCTCGCACCACAGCCTGGGAATGCCAAGTGCCGCAAGTTCAACAACTGAGCTGCCACTTAAACTTTGCAGGGATGGTATGGGTTCCTGCAGGCTGTTTCAAGCTGTGCCTCAAGAAACCAACCTGCTCATCACCCCGGGTCTGCCACAGTGACCCTGCCGCGATTCACCTGCACCTCCTTTAGCCGCGAGAAGCATGAGCATCCTTGTGAGGCTTTTGAAACTTTACCTCATGTGACCATCCAAAAGGCATGGCTCGAATCGAAGCTGCTCTTCCGCAAGTGAAATGGGGTCGGTGTGATGTCTATACTGGGGTCTTGGCCCATCACAGCGGCATCCAGGGCTGTGCTGGCGGGCTACACCTGCTGCTGCTCTTCAGGTTTCTGCCACTCCCACGATGCATGTCCAAACCGCGCCGGCCTGCATTGCGTAAACTACAACTTGCTAGCTACCATGATTAACTCGCTTAATGGGGGATGCAGCATTGACCTATTGGTAGTGCACGGCAGCCCATGCAGCCAACATGCAGTAGATTGCCCGTGAGCAAAGTCTGCGAAAACAAGCCGCCTAGTGGAATGTTGCACGGCTGACAGAGAAACACAGAAGCTGCAGGATCGACCGTGTTGAAAACATCCGCAGACATGCCAAGATGGCAACATGTTTTGTGGCGCTTCAGCTGACAATTTGCTCTACAAGTGTAAGCTACAGTCAATGACTCGAACGCCTTGAAAGTCAAGAATGCGGAAACGGCCAGTCTTTTCCCCGCATACCTCAGAAGTCGCCGCATCACCCGCGACCCCACTCGACCAGGTGTTGCTATGAACTTGTCGCACAGGTCTGCAGCAACTCTCTATCAGTTGAATTTCTCGATGTGCACTGCAAGTGTTAATGACCTCAGCGCTGCAGCCCTTGCCAACACTGTCCCTGTACAACCGAATCATCAGGTGAACAGCACCTTCAAGTAAAGCTAATTTGCCTGCTAGCAGCTGCTGTACACGGAGGAATGCACACATATGGCAAAGTTTACTAGAACCTCCTCAGCGCAGCAGTGTGCAGCACTTGCTCAACGGCTTTCCTGCAAATTCGGGATGGCAACACAGCGCTGCAAATTGCAGCAAGCTCGCTGCCCAGCTAAACCACAGCAGTGCCAGCGGGAAACAGCTGAGAATCGTGCAGGAGCCTGCACGCGTGGAAGCGCGACAAGCACTCAAGTAAACCAGCGTGTTGAAGAAGACAGGGCAAAACGTATTCAGCACCAGGAAAAGCACCCGTAAAGGTTAAACAATGTCGATACACCAAAGGCCGGTGTTTTCCACATCCCAGATATGCAGGTCGTTTGACGTAAGTTTACGCTCTCTGGACATAACATGCTTCTGTCCTGATTCCAAGCTCCTAACGCCCCGCTCATCACATCTGTTGAGACCACCAAACAAGTGCTGCTTGACTGTGTCGCCTTGGCTGGTTTTGAATTGCAGTCCTCTTTCCTATCCGAGCGGACTGAGGCGCTTCCAATCTTCCGCGGTCGCATCTGTTTCGACGCAGCGGTCCTGCTCAGCAGGATGTCTTGCTGCGCCGAAGTTGGACACGAGCGCCGTCTCCGAGTGCTGCCTGAAGGGCCGACGAGACGAAAGGAAAACCCTACTTGTTCCATCTAGACGAGCATGCAGCCAAAGCGTAAAGTTTAACTACCCACCCTGCACTCGCGAAGAAGTGCAAACAGATGCAACATCCGAGCAAGCATGCACATCAAGCAAACAATCCACTGTCGCGCGAAAGCGCGACTGAAGATTGTGGGGACAGCGCCGGGTATGCGCGGGTGTGCGCGGGTTTGCGCGGGTATGCGCCGGGTATGCGCCGGGTATGCGCGGGCATGCGCGGGTATGCGCGGGTGTGCGCGGGTGTGCGCGGGTATGCGCGGGTATGCGCGAGTATGCGCGAGTATGTGCGAGTATGCGCGGGTATGCGCGAGCATGCGCGAGTATGCGCGAGTATGCGCGGGTATATGCGCGGGCATGCGCGAGTTTGCGCGGGTATGCGCGAGTATGCGCGAGTATGTGCGGGTATGCGCGGGTATGCGCGAGCATGCGCCGGATTGCGCCGGTATGTTCGGGTATGTTCGAGCATGAGCGAGTATGTGCCGGGTATGAGCGAGTATGCACCGGGTATGCTTTCAATTCATGTATGTTTAATATTGTATGGATACTATGTAAGATACATCATGTGTTATATGCGATGTTTTGTACTACATATGAGACAATGTACATGATATATAGGCAGTTATAAGAAGTACGTGTATATATACATATATATATATATAGATACTCTCTCTCTATGTATAGAGCATCTATATGCATATATATATATAACTATATATATATAATTATATATATATATATAGATTATTGCATGTATTGCATTGTATTATATATACTTGTTCTGTGTATTTTATACCAGAGAGTATATATAATGTAAGATGCAATGATAACACATGTATATCTATATGAAATACAGCAAATATTTTAAAGCATGTAATTCATATTATGTGCTATACTTTATAAATTATATGTTTTTATGCTATACATTAAACAGATACATATTACGTGGTGTATTTTCAAATTGAAATTAGATATTTTACATTAGAAGTTAACTCAAATGAAACAGAGCATGTCACAGGCCATACACTTTATGTTATGTATTGTATCACAAACGGCATTTATGATAAGTTACATTATAATATCTATATGTGAGCTTTGATCAATATTCCTGTTTTTGGAAATGGTTTCTTCGCGGATTATTGTTTTC